AAAAATCCATGAACATGACAAAATGTCAATTTACAAATCTATAGCGTGTGTGTCCACCTCTGGTTGCGATGCAAGCAACACATCTTCGTCTCATGGAATGGACCAGGCGTCGCACAAAGTCCTGTGGGATATCTGTCCATATCTGCTGGAGCATGTTTCGAAGTTCCTGGAGTGTCTGTGGAACACGTGGTTGACGTCGAAGGCGCCGATCCATCTCATGCCACATGTGCTCGATTGGTGAGATCAGGGGAGCGAGCCGGCCAGGAGATGACATTCACGTTGTTTTGTTGAAGTGAATCCTGAACAAGTCGAGCAATAAGTGGCCGGGCGTTGTCATGTTGAAAGGTAATGCCTGGGCCATGACGACGCTAAAAAGGTAGAACAACAGGGCCGATGATCTCGTCGCGGTAGCACTGTCTATTGAGATTTCCCTCTACTACTATCAAACGGGTCCTCTGTCTTGCTGTAATCCCAACATATACCATAACGCAGCCGCCCCCGAACCGATCTTCTTCCATGACACAATGATTGACGTAACGTTCACTTCGACGTCGGTACACTCGAATCCGTCCATCGCTGTGGTTGAGGTGAAAACGAGACTCGTCAGTGAATAGAACTTGTCCCCACTGCATGGCCGTCAAGCGTAGACGCTGTCTGCACCACTGTAGACGTGCTTGACGGTGGTTTCCTGTCAAAATGGGACGTCTGGCGGGTCTTCTGGCGACAATCCCTGCACATCTGAGGCGGCGACGTACGGTTTGTGAAGATATTCGTCGAAGGCCATGGATGCTTCTTGCAGTCACTGTTGCTGGCTGGAATCGATTTCGTAGGTGTGTTGTTCGAATCCAGTTGTCTTGTCGATTATTGGTTACGCGTGGCCTGCCACTCCGAGTATGGTCTCTGCCTGCATTCGTCTGTTACCAAGGTTGCCATAAACACCAAATGGTGTTTCTTTGGACGTAAATTGCCTTGCAACATCATGTTGACTCGATCCTGCTTCAAGCATACCAATGGCTCGCAGACGCACATTTTCGGACAGGCGTGGCATTTCGTAATGTTGAATAATTGCGTAATTTTGTTGTTTTTCTGAGTGGTTGTTGTCAGCACAATGCTAAACAATGCATATGGAATCCCGTTAACGCACATGTTTTTATACCCATTCTTGGGTAGTGAAATGCATGGGGCTTGCATAAAAGTCAACTTTTGCATGGAATGCATGCTTTTCTGTAGCAGTTGCGTTTTTGTGACTTGATTCCATACATGTACTACAATATTGAAAACCAAACTTTACTCGTTTGAAAAATTCACTAAAATATTGGTGTCACGGGAACTTTTGTTGTTGAGTATATAATGTCCTGAATCTCCATCCACTCCAGGACTAACTGGCAGCACATTATGGCTAGCCTGTACTCCAACTGACCCTACAACTGTGAGCCATACTGAGCTTGTATGGGGCAGCTGCAAGGATTAAATGAATAAACAATGAAACTGTCAGACCTCAAGAGGTTGGTCCATGCCTGCTAGTTGCACCCCCAAGACCGGCAAATAAGACAGATTATCCCCCAGATTATCATGTCTTCAGTAAAGTAACATCAGTCGAAACACCCATCGTTTGATTAGCATTATATGGAATATTTCAGTGAAGTGGCCACAATAAAATTTTGGGAATATTGCTAAAAGCTACGTAAAATCGTGCTAACTAAGTGCACTGTGCACATAATAATTGTTATTTTTTTCTCACGTTTACGGGCCAACAGAGACATATTTAACTAACATCGCCATCAGCTGTTGGTTGAAAAATAGTTCGCCATTCAATTTCCTAATATGTGTGTGTACGTAGATTGTAAACGTGAAACTTCCACTTGTAAACAACGGTCACAAGCCTCTGTAGCTCACCTGGTGTTTTAAACATCAACTCGAGAGAATATGAGTCTCGATTATCTATCGAAACAGATTCAATTGGGCGGTGAAATTATGTGAATGGATCACCGAAAATCAAGGTCAAAATGGGGTTTAACGTCGCGTTCAAGATTATTGCACGTATAGAGCGACGATCTGATTGTACTAGTGCGAACTGATGCCAGTTTTAATCGTGCTAGCCCCCTAGCCCTGCCGCATTATAACATGAAGCTGACGCCGAGACGATCAGGCAGTGATGCTGTTCACCCGAGCGGCTTCCTCGATGATGGAGGCAGATAATACTTTCACTGAAATACTATTTTCCGAGTTTACATAAGATACTAAAAAACAAAAACAAGAAGTCGTTTGACAAACGTTTTATTATACAACAAAAGCGACAAGACAATCAATACAAGGGTTATCATTCATCAACTCGAACAGATGTGAATATAAGCGACACAACTACAATTTACGACTCCGGTTATGTGTGTTTGTGACCGGTAGCCACAACCACATGCAAAGGCAAGGCAAGTTTTCACCTGAAACAACAACACGGGAACATACGGAACAAGTCAAAACAGGGCATCGCAATGACATCACCTGGTCATTGATGCCATTGATGCAATCTGGAAATGTCTTCCACATGACTACAAAGGCATTGAAGGCAGTAACCCTTATCAACAAACATGTGAGCAAGAATCGTGTGACGCCTTTAGATATATTCCTTAAAGGAGCACGCTTGAATGTAGTGTAGCCACCACGGACGTACTTCCATTGTCTTCCAAACACTTCACAAAACAGCATAATTTATATTTCAGATTATCAACCAAGGAAACTGCTTGTGATATTGGAGATACTGCTTGGATTTTGAAGCAGTAGTTCTAACTTGCATTGTGATACATTGTTGCATGATTTTTACGTATCACCCATAGCCTCGCTTTGCCTCGTTAACAGTAAACACCCAACACTATCGTGTTTATGATTTACTCTGTAAGTCACATATAATATTTACCATTCACATGATATTTGACAACAAGGACAATTTTTGTGCCCAGGACATGTAAATTAACAACAACAACAACATCAACAACAACAACAACAACAACTATTAAAGTACGCTTTCTTTCTTTGTGTAAAGTCTATTTACGACATGATGTCCAATCTCATATTGTATGGACCCGTAAAGTATCGGGTTATAATTGGTCTACAGAAACCCATGCTTGTCGTAAGAGGCAACTAACAGGATTGGGTGGTCAGGCACGCTGACTTGGTTGATGCATGTCATCGTATTCCAATTGCGTGTATCGATGCTCATGACAGCAATCACTGGGATGTCTGGTCCAGACAAAACGAATACACTCTAACTCGTGCATCAAACACAGGGAAAGGTGAGAATGGTGCCTCACATTTAACGAATACAGTATATCTTGTGCATCAAACACAGGGAAAAGGTGTGAATGGTGACTCACATTTAACGAATACAGTATACCTTGTGCATCAAACACAGGGAAAGGTGAGAATGGTGCCCCCCATTTAACGAATACAGTATATCTTGTGCATCAAACACGGGGAAAAGGTGTGAATGGTGACTCACATTTAACGAATACAGTATATCTTGTGCATCAAACACGGGGAAAAGGTGTGAATGGTGACTCACATTTAACGAATACAGTACATCTTGTGCATCAATCACAGGGAAAGGTGTGAATGGTGACTCACATTTAACGAATACAGTATACCTTGTGCATCAAACACAGGGAAAGGTGAGAATGGTGCCCCCCATTTAACGAATACAGTATATCTTGTGCATCAAACACGGGGAAAAGGTGTGAATGGTGACTCACATTTAACGAATACAGTACATCTTGTGGATCAATCACAGGGAAAGGTGAGAATGGTGACTCACATTTAACGAATACAGTGTATATCTTGTGCATCAAACACAGGGAAAGGTGAGAATGGTGCCTCACTTTTAACGAATACAATGTACCTTGTGCATTGGGACAAGGTGTACATTTTGACTACCTCGCGAAATAATGTTTCAGCTCCATAGCATGAAAAATTTCAGTAAAACGTTTTGATAAGATAAATTCATCTTTCCATATAATTGCAGTATTATTGCTTCGAAACTTCGAAATATCCGGACATTCGAGAAAATGAGGCAAGAACACCCAAAGAGATCAAGTCACAGTATTAGAGATACATAGCAATTACATGCACAAGAAATTATAAACAGAACACATGTATACGATGACACATTGAAACATATTTCGTCGGCACTGATAAATACCAATTTTGACAAATATTGTACAGTGTATATGCACCTTATTAGGCATATCAGCAAAAACTATTTAGTCCGTCCACATAAAGTGATTGGATATTTGCAGCTTAGATATTGTGACTTCCGTCACACGGTTTGGCTTTGATTCCCTTAACCCAACTTTAATAAGCACGTTTTGATGTAACAAGAATACCGTTATCATTGGAATAAGGGGTAAGTACATAACTGGTTGAACAATTTGTTTAAATTTCACCTTACTAGAACAGCTATGTTAGATGTGTGAGGAAAGGTACACGATATACTTGCGCTTCTCAAAACTGTCAATGTGGCAAATTCAAACTTCGAGATAAAGATATAAAATTCTATAGTAAAGTATAATTAGGACCGAGTCCAATGTTCAAGATAGCCCTATGTATTGAAAATTGTTATCTCTAATTCGAGGTGAGCGGGCACATTTATGTGTATTTATATAGCCAGGCGTTCGGGACCGGAGAATAGGTTTGATAAAGTTGGTACTTTCGAGATAACGAGTCTCGACTGTGTACGATGTTATGGCAGGGTGACACCCAATCTCCCCAACAGTTTATATGGAACAATTCATAAAACGATTCCCCCTGAATCAGGCTCATGTATACAAACTTTGTTGGTTTTTTATAACCCAAGACAAGCATATTTATACAACTTCGTAAGATAATTACCTCATTAACTTGATATCCAAAAGTTTTCTCTCTTTTCTAGTGAATAATGCACAATGCCAGTGCATCCTTAGTATCATGTCTCCCCGTTGTGCCAAACAGGGAATTGGTCGTTTCCGCAAAGTTTACATATGCGTGCTTTGGGTGTTGAAAGTTGAAAAGTGTTGGTCATTTGTCCGTTGTCTATCAAACCGGTCTCTGTAGTCTTGCAGGTGTCGAAGCACCTTTCTGGTACAGACGAAGGAGATCCCAATGAAGAGCCCCTGGAGTGTGTTGGTGACGATGTAGAGGTACGTGGTGACTGGATGGGGGACAAAAGCTGACAGGAACCCAAAGCCCCAGGTTAGACCCATCACAATGAATAGCTTGACGTAGATCAGAAACTCATTTCTTTGTTCAGGTCCAAGGGTCCGGGCCGAGGATATCTTGACAGAACAAATCGTGGTTGATGTGCAGATGAAGAAGATGGTATTTAGAACAACAACCATGGCAAGCGGTGCAGCAAAGAAGATCAAGAGTGATAACTTCCTTGTAATCCAACATATTCCTAGTCCATACCCAGGAGAAAACACAGATGCAGGATCCACATAGTCCAGTGTCAAGGCCGAGACGATTGGAACAAGAGGGGACATCCAGGCATACATGCTATACATCAGAAATTGTCTGTTTTTCTGTCTTGGTTCCTTGACCCGAATAAGTTTTCTCGAAAACGTGGACCAGGCATCAATAGCAATGACGTTCATCCAGAGAAATGCTGCCAAGAAAAAGTAGTGCATGCCAATGGCGAATATCTTGCAAACTATTGGTTCCTTTTCAGTAGAAGGGGCAATCAACATCAGCAACTGTGCTGTGAAAAGAGCCACAGATAGGAAGAGAATGTTTAGGCCAGGAATGTTTCTAAAACCACGGAAGGTTGCATAAATAACAATGGTGACCAGAAGGGCAGTCATGGATAATACCATTCCTATACCACTGATTACTCCTTCCAGAGATGAGAAGTTTGAGGACGGAATGAGGATACGATTTTGGTCAGTTCTTGCGGGCATTGTACGATTGACAACACAAACGATTGCAGTTTTGCCTTTCCTTATGAAGTCCCTGTGACGATGTATAACCTTAGAGGCAGATTCCCATAGTCTTCCATCCTGTAGAATGTGGAATTCCTGTTCGTTTAATATGATATGAGGACAGTGGCTTAAAGTTTCGTTTCCGAATAATTCTGAAACATCTTTTCCTACCTTAAGTGTACATTCGCCATCCTCACAACCAACTAACCGACAGGTGTCCTGAAATGGGTCATATATTTCATCTACATCACAAATTAGTTCATTTTCAAACTCAGTCTCCACCGATTGAAACGTTGTCCCAGCTGTTTTCACGGCACGGCCAGAATTGATGTCAAGAAGTAGCGAAAATGAATAGAATCCCATAGATGCAACATGTAGGACACAGGTTACAGTTTTTCCTTTGCCAACACACTTTGGTGAAGCCTGCTTGTTGCACAGAGCACAATGAGTATTTTTGTAAATTCCATCTTCGGTGTATACAATCTGGTATCCAGATGTATGTGAGCATTGCTCCTCCATTTCAACATCAGGACATGTTGAGATGATGTCTTCAAAACAGGGTCTAATGTCACTTGCGTTTGGAGGAGGCAAGAGCTGAAGGAAACAGTTTTCATTGGCAAGAATATCGGTCATGGTGAATGTTTCATTCATCTCAATAGGTTTATGATCAACACATTTGACCCTTGGCTGCCACAAATCTGATTCCTCTGCGTGACATTGTGCACAGAATACATTCTTGTACATTAGGCCTGACTCCCTGCCCATTGCCGGAATCTGCAGAAAGAGGTCCGTCGTGTTCGTCACCGAGCAGAGATCAGCGATGTACTGACTGCCGTAATCCCTAGGGCAGTCCACTACAGCGTAGAACTTCCTTACAGACACCTTGCAATCATATGTACAGTTGATATAGTCGTGAAGGGATCTGTTAATTTTCTTTTGGAATGATTTGTCAGCATCCACACAACAGTCGTCGAAGAATGTACACAGATCGTCGCAGAAACAACCCATGTATGTGAAGTAAGTGTTGCTATCACTATACCCTTTCGGAGGGAGGTTTTCACAAAGCCATCCTTTGCAAGAAAAGTTTCCATAGTGATTGGTCACATTTTCACGTATATTCAAACTAATCCTGCCCTGGGCTGGTTCCTGGAAACCAAACCCAAGAAAGATATAGACAAGAATCACGTGATTCATTTCTGTGTAAAAACGTGCAAGCCACAGTCACCCCACATGTTCCCACTTAATCCCCTGGCCACCATATGCTACTGGCATCGCTATGTCGCGTACGTTAGTCGCTGTCTTGTACTGCAGAAGGCTGTGTCCGTCTTCCAACTGTTTATCAGACATCTTTCTTCCTCCAATAATTGATTTCATGCTGGGAACAAGCTTTTATATTGTTTCCCAGACGAACGAGTTTTCCTTCCAAAACGGACGTTACGGAAACGTGTCCTTCAGTAATGGATTTATTTTAGATGCAGTAGGACGCCAAAGCTCACCTTCATTAATTGTGTTACTTTCAGATCATGATGGGTTTTCAACACAGCGCGGTATGTTTGTTAATAGTGCACTGACGGTATATTTAGGAAACATTATCATTAACTATAAAATTATCAATACCAGACGGAAGAAATCGCATTGCTTTTGCATACTTTTGCCATTCCTGATTTAAAGTAGGGAACGGAAGATTGAGAGGTGACATTACAGTTTTGCTAGCAGTCAGAGTAAATATAAAACGTCAACGCCAGCCAATAACCAGTCTCGATTATGCGGCGAAACATATTCCATTGGGCGTAAGACCCATTAAGATCCGGGGTAGAATAGGTCTTCAGCAACCCATGCTTGCCGGAAAAGGTGACTATGCTTGTCGTAAGGGGCGACTAACGGGATCGGGTGGTCAGGCTCGCTGACTTGGTTGATGCATGTCATCGATCCCAATTGCGTGGATCGATGCTCATGTTGTCAATCACTGAATTGTCTGGTCCAGACTCGATTATTTCCAGCCCGCCGTCACATAGCTGGAATATTGCTGAGTGCGGCGTTAAACAACAAACAAACAAATATTGGGCGTAAGTAGCAATATAGCGTTTAAACAAATATAAACAGATCACTGAAAACCAGTGATGACAGTTCGCGAATACACATACTGGTTGATGATGTCACTGCATGACTGATCTACTGGCCTATCGAATGTGTGTGTTACCTTTATTTCAAAGTAACGGTTAAAATAGCAAAGGTGGGATGAGAACTGTCCGACTAGATCTACATAGTTTACAGAAAACGACCAAAGGTTTCAGAAAAATAACTTTTAGATCTATATAAAAACGGGGGAAAATGAAGGATGTGATGAAGAATGTGATGAAGGATGTGATGAAGGGGATGATGAAAGATTCACGAAGGATGTGATTGAGGATGTGATGAAGGATGTGATGAAGGATGTGATGGAGGATGTGATGGAGGATGTGATGAATGTGGTCAAGGATGTGATGAAGGATGTGATGGAGGATGAGATGGAGGATGTGATGAATGTGGTGAAGAATGTGATGAAGGATGTGATAAAGGATGTGATGAAGGGGATGATGAAGGATGTGATGAAGGATGTGATGAAGGGGATGATGACGAAGGATGTGATGAAGGATGTGATGAAGGATATGATGAAGGATGTGATGAAGGGAGTGATGAAAGATTTCACGAAGGATGTGATGGAGGATGTGATGAAGGATGTGATGAAGGATGTGATGAAGGATATGATGAAGGATTTGACGAAAGATGTGATGAAGGATGTGATGAAGGATAGGATGAAGGATAGGATGAAGAGGATGTTGAAGGATTTGACGAAAGATGTGACGAAGGATGTGATGATATGATGGCAATGATGAAGGATATGATGAAGGGTGTGGTGAAGGATGTGATTTAGGAGATGATGAAGGATGTGAAAAAGAGGATGATGAAGGATGTAATGAGGGAGAGGATGAAAGAGATGCTGAAGAGTAGGATGAAATATATGATGGAGATGGTGGAGGTGATGAAGGATGAGACGAAGGATGATGAAGGATGTGATGAAGGGGATGATAAAGGATAGGATGAAGTATATGATGAAGGATGTGATGAAAGATTTTATGAAGGATGTGATGAAGAATATGATGAAGGATGTGGTGAAGGCTATGATGAAGGAGATGAAGGATGTGAGGAAGGAGATGAAGGATGTGATGAAGGAGATGATGAAGGATGTGAGGAAGGAGATGAAGGATGGGATGAAGGAGATGAAGGATGTGAGGAAGGAGATGATGAAGGATGTGAGGAAGGAGATGAAGGATGTGATGAAGGAGATGATGAAGGATGTGAGGAAGGAGATGAAGGATGTGAGGAAGGAGATGAAGGATGTGAGGAAGGAGATGATGAAGGATGTGATGAAGGAGATGAAGGATGTGAGGAAGGAGATGAAGGATGTGATGAAGGAGATGATGAAGGATGTGAGGAAGGAGATGAAGGATGTGATGAAGGAGATGATGAAGGATGTGAGGAAGGAGATGAAGGATGTGATGAAGGAGATGATGAAGGATGTGAGGAAGGAGATGAAGGATGTGATGAAGGAGATGATGGAGGATGTGGTAAATGATATATTCACAATTTACATCAACTTCAGCAGAGAATGTTCTCGAATCCATGTGGTCAACAATATTTATTTTATATATTAATTAGTTACATAGGACCTACATGAATATTAACATCTCAAATATACTCATACTGCCGCTGCTTCATGTTAGATGTTCGACATTCATTTAAAGACAATCCATTGTTTCAACAGATTAGACATTGGATAACAGTATACCACTGACTTATTTATATTAATAGAAGTAAAGGAGGGTCGCGCAGCACTAAATGCACTAATTATAACCTTAGCTTGTGAGGAGATCATCCGTTTGGATAAAGAACTGAATACTTGATGTCTGTTCTCCGGGGCTTAAATGGGTTTATATCCTTACGGGTGTCATGCTAATCTCTCTATCACCCATCAAATCATAATGTCTGCTCGTGACAAGATAGGATGTCCAAAAGACAGTCCTATTTTGATCTATGTGACATCCAGCGGACGTAATGAGTGTGGGGATGAATGCATTAGGAAGTATACGGCAATCACCATAATGGGATGGGACAGGACCAAATGGGTTTTGTAACGAAAGAAGGAAATGCAAAGCGACGTGTGCGTCATAATAAAAATAATTAATCGGTTCAAAGGACGTATGTTCGAACAAGAACGGACAATCAATTATCAGTAAGCCTAGCTCATCTTACAAATTCATGATTATGTTTTTATTTATAACGTTGATTGATTGAATTTGAAATTGATACTTATACCGGTGTATGATACTCAGTGCTCGTAAATCGCGCTAGCTCTAATATGAACTTAAGTCTACCAATATTGGCAAAAGAGGTAAATTTCAAAATAGATTTGCGTCGCATAAAACGTCTTTAACTCGGACGTCAAAGCTTTGTACAGAACATCGTTCCTTTACCGTTTCAAGATCCGCTGATTGTGGGATTTTAATCCCAAATTCGACCCCACTAGAAACCTTTGTCTGCTAGCAGTTGAACCCTTTATAGGATTTACCAAAGGGATAAACGTCCGCGATCTGCACCACATCTAGCCAGACCCTCACATAAGCTGATACACATTTATGTTGAAGTAATGTTCAGAGTTTAAACACCACCTCGGTCCGCCAGTCTGTATTACCAGCCCTGGTAACAGTGTTGGGCGTCATGTCAGCTGGAAGGCAAACGTCCGCGTTCTCAAGATGCGGCCTGCACCACTGCGCCCCGCTATCAATCAATGTATAATAATTATTTACACTGTGCGGTCCATACGAGTCTTTTGGAAGGGATCAATGTTGAAAATAATTAATTTAAGGATTGTGTACTGTGTATGAATTCATTGTTAATTGATAATTTAGCTGATTATGGATTCCACTTATGAATCATGATTGTGCTGCCCTCCTGTTTCTTTATGCATACCAATGGTGATTGTACAGCCCTCCTGTTTCTTTATGTATATCAGTCATGATTGTACCGCCCTCCTGTTTCTTTATGTATATCAATCATGATTGTACCGCCCTCCTGTTTCTTTATGCACATCAATCATAATTGTACCGCCCTCCTGTTTCTTTATGTATATCAGTCATGATTGTACCGCCCTCCTGTTTCTTTATGTATATCAATCATGATTGTACCGCCGTCCTGTTTCTTTATGTATATCAATCATGATTGTACCGCCCTCCTGTTTCTTTATGTATATCAGTCATGATTGTACCACCCTCCTGTTTCTTTATGCACATCAATCATGATTGTACCGCCCTCCTGTTTCTTTATGTATATCAATCATGATTGTACCGCCCTCCTGTTTCTTTATGTATATCAATCATGATTGTACCGCCCTCCTGTTTCTTTATGCATATCAATCATGATTGTACCGCCCTCCTGTTTCTTTATGTATATCAGTCATGATTGTACCGCCCTCCTGTTTCTTTATGCACATCAATCATGATTGTACCGCCCTCCTGTTTCTTTATGCATATCAATCATGATTGTACCGCCCTCCTGTTTCTTTATGTATATCAGTCATGATTGTACAGCCCTCCTGTTTCTTTATGTATATCAATCATGATTGTACCGCCCTCCTGTTTCTTTATGCACATCAATCATGATTGTACCGCCCTCCTGTTTCTTTATGTATATCAATCATGATTGTGCTGCGCTCTGTTTCTTTATGCATATCAATGATGATTGTACCGCCCTCCTGTTTCTTTATGTATATCAATCATGATTATGCTGCGATCTGTTTCTTTATGCATATCAATCATGATTGTGCTGCGAACCGTTTCTTTATGTATATCAATCCTGATTGTGCAGCCCTCCTGTTTCTTTATGTATATCAATCATGATTGTACCGCCCTCCTGTTTCTTTATGTATATCAATCATGATTGTGCTGCGCTCTGTTTCTTTATGCATATCAATCATGATTGTACCGCCCTCCTGTTTCTTTATGTATATCAATCATGATTATGCTGCGATCTGTTTCTTTATGCATATCAATCATGATTGTACCGCCCTCCTGTTTCTTTATGTATATCAATCATGATTATGCTGCGATCTGTTTCCTTACGTATATCAATCATGATTGTGCTGCGCTCTGCTTCTTTATGCACACCAATCATGATTGTACCGCCCTCCTGTTTCTTTATGTATATCAATCATGATTGTATCGCCCTCCTGTTTCTTTATGTATATCAGTCATGATTGTACCGCCCTCCTGTTTCTTTATGCACATCAATCATGATTGTACCGCCCTCCAGTTTCTTTATGTATATCAGTCATGATTGTACCGCCCTCCTGTTTCTTTATGCACATCAATCATGATTGTACCGCCCTCCTGTTTCTTTATGGATATCAATCATGATTGTACCGCCCTCCTGTTTCTTTATGTATATCAATCATGATTGTACCGCCCTCCTGTTTCTTTATGTATATCAATCATGATTGTACCGCCCTCCTGTTTCTTTATGTATATCAGTCATGATTGTACCGCACTCCTGTTTCTTTATGCACATCAATCATGATTGTACCGCCCTCCTGTTTCTTTATGTATATCATTCATGATTGTGCTGCGCTCTGTTTCTTTATGGATATCAATCATGATTGTACCGCCCTCCTGTTTCTTTATGTATATCAGTCATGATTGTACAGCCCTCCTGTTTCTTTATGCATATCAATCATGATTGTGCTGCGAACCGTTTCTTTATGTATATCAATCATGATTGTGCAGCCCTCCTGTTTCTTTATGTATATCAATCATGATTCTACCGCCCTCCTGTTTCTTTATGTATATCAATCATGAGTGTGCTGCGCTCTGTTTCTTTATGCATATCAATCATGATTGTACCGCCCTCCTGTTTCTTTATGTATATCAATCATGATAATGCTGCGATCTGTTTCTTTATGCATATCAATCATGATTGTACCGCCCTCCTGTTTCTTTATGTATATCAATCATGATTATGCTGCGATCTGTTTCCTTACGTATATCAATCATGATTGTGCTGCGCTCTGCTTCTTTATGCACACCAATCATGATTGTACCGCCCTCCTGTTTCTTTATGTATATCAATCATGATTGTATCGCCCTCCTGTTTCTTTATGTATATCAGTCATGATTGTACCGCCGTCCTGTTTCTTTATGCACATCAATCATGATTGTACCGCCCTCCAGTTTCTTTATGTATATCAATCATGATTGTACCGCCCTCCTGTTTCTTTATGTATATCAGTCATGATTGTACCGCCCTCCTGTTTCTTTATGCACATCAATCATGATTGTACCGCCCTCCTGTTTCTTTATGTATATCAATCATGATTGTACCGCCCTCCTGTTTCTTTATGTATATCAATCATGATTGTACCGCCCTCCTGTTTCTTTATGCATATCAATCATGATTGTACCGCCCTCCTGTTTCTTTATGTATATCAGTCATGATTGTACAGCCCTCCTGTTTCTTTATGTATATCAATCATGATTGTACCGCCCTCCTGTTTCTTTATGCACATCAATCATGATTGTACCGCCCTCCTGTTTCTTTATGTATATCAATCATGATTGTGCTGCGCTCTGTTTCTTTATGCATATCAATGATGATTGTACCGCCCTCCAGTTTCTTTATGTATATCAGTCATGATTGTACAGCCCTCCTGTTTCTTTATGCACATCAATCATGATTGTACCGCCCTCCTGTTCCTTTATGGATATCAATCATAATTGTACCGCCCTCCTGTTTCTTTATGTATATCAATCATGATTGTACCGCCCTCCTGTTTCTTTATGTATATCAGTCATGATTGTACAGCCCTCCTGTTTCTTTATGCACATCAATCATGATTGTACCGCCCTCCAGTTTCTTTATGTATATCAGTCATGATTGTACCGCCCTCCTGTTTCTTTATGCACATCAATCATGATTGTACCGCCCTCCTGTTTCTTTATGGATATCAATCATGATTGTACCGCCCTCCTGTTTCTTTATGTATATCAATCATGATTGTACCGCCCTCCTGTTTCTTTATGCATATCAATCATGATTGTACCGCCCTCCTGTTTCTTTATGTATATCAGTCATGATTGTACCACCCTCCTGTTTCTTTATGCACATCAATCATGATTGTACCGCCCTCCTGTTTCTTTATGCATATCAATCATGATTGTACCGCCCTCCTGTTTCTTTATGTATATCAGTCATGATTGTACAGCCCTCCTGTTTCTTTATGTATATCAATCATGATTGTACCGCCCTCCTGTTTCTTTATGCACATCAATCATGATTGTACCGCCCTCCTGTTTCTTTATGTATATCAATCATGATTGTGCTGCGCTCTGTTTCTTTATGCATATCAATCATGATTGTACCGCCCTCCTGTTTCTTTATGTATATCAATCATGATTATGCTGCGATTTGTTTCTTTATGCATATCAATCATGATTGTGCTGCGAACCGTTTCTTTATGTATATCAATCATGATTGTGCAGTCCTCCTGCTTCTTTATGTATATCAATCATGATTGTACCGCCCTCCTGTTTCTTTATGTATATCAATCATGATTATGCTGCGATCTGTTTCTTTATGCATATCAATCATGATTGCACCGCCCTCCTGTTTCTTTATGTATATCAATCATGATTATGCTGCGATCTGTTTCCTTACGTATATCAATCATGATTGTGCTGCGCTCTGCTTCTGTATGCACACCAATCATGATTGTACCGCCCTCCTGTTTCTTTATGTATATCAATCATGATTGTATCGCCCTCCTGTTTCTTTATGTATATCAGTCATGATTGTACCGCCCTCCTGTTTCTTTATGCACATCAATCATGATTGTACCGCCCTCCAGTTTCTTTATGTATATCAGTCATGATTGTACCGCCCTCCTGTTTCTTTATGCACATCAATCATGATTGTACCGCCCTCCTGTTTCTTTATGGATATCAATCATGATTGTACCGCCCTCCTGTTTCTTTATGTATATCAATCATGATTGTACCGCCCTCCTGT